CCGGGCATAGCATAAAAACGGCGCCTGTAAATTTGGGTACCTGTAGGGAATCGATTGAAGTTTATTGTGACAAAGTTTCAAAAAATCGGTCGGAAAATTTTTGAAATATCGAGGTTTTAGTGACGTCATGATTTCTGAGTTTTCGACCAAAAACGGCATATGTTCAAAAAATCATATAAAATCACAGAATAGACATACAGACATGTCGTAAACGCTATTAGACTGCCAATACCATGAACAATCAAATGGCTATCTTCGAATATTGATTATCGTTCCGCATTTTCCAAAATCTTGAACTGAATCTTGGCAATTTCTCGTTACTACTTACCGACCATGATACATGCATTTCTTAACCCTCGCCCATGTAGGGGGGGGGGGTTGGTGCAACCCCCCCCTGAGGTTTTTCGGAAATATTGCAAAAACGGCGGCGCGCAGCGCCGCCAAATTTTGGGTACCTTATGGGGCAAACCTTGCGCATCTTTTGATAAAAAAAAATTTGACCGGGTCATGTCAGGTCACGGAGTTATGACGTCACAAAGGGAACAGCCTCCGGCCGGATTTTCACAAACTGAGTGCCAACGCCCGAGGTTTCCTGCCGGTGGTACGGACATCGGTTGATGGATCGTGATGAAACTTCCCATGCATGTTGGGGCAAGTATTGGCTATCATATGGTATAAGAAACTTGACCGGGTCAGGTCAGGTCACGGAGCTATGACGTCACAAGAGGAACAGCGTCCGGTACTATTTTTGAAAAGTGCCCGAACCACTATTTTGCTAATTCTTGTCACCTCAATGGGAATATGCAGCAATATTAGCTTCTATAGGGAGCAAATGGACCTTCCAAATTCAAAAATACAATCAGATTTCAAAAATTTAAATTTTGATTTTTCGAATTTCTGCCGCCGACTGTGACCTTGCCGACTACCGGCGCTCCCAACGCGCCATTTTTAGAGCTAGGGAAACGAAATACATACCAAACGATAGGGAATTGATCAAGGAACACGATAGTGAAGGTTTCAAGTCGATATCTCCAACCGTTTTGCCGCAATCGCCGCGGAAAGTTGAAAAAAGTCTAATTTTCCGAACATTTGACCTTTGACCGGTCAAAAGTAGGTCAAATGTTGACCTAGGACCAAAAAATATACCACCAATCGCGAGATCTCGGCGAGAGCAATCCGTTGGTCTTTTCCGCTAAGCTCTACGACGCTCCGTTTTCAAACGCCAAGGGGGGGGGGGTCGCACCAACCCCCCCCCCCCCTGCATGGGCGAAGGTGGCAGATCGCCGTTTACGGGCGAGGGTTAAATTGAACTTTTTGAGCCAAACACGTACACATATGATATAATGAACGTCACCATCGTGTTCTACGCCCCAAATTACCCATAAAACATTTGTCACAGGCTGCGAATATTAGTTTTGATTTTCGGGGATATGTGCCTACCTGGTTGACCTGACCTTGACCCTGACTTTTGCTTGACTGACCCCTACATGGAGCTGACACTCTTGTAGGCCTTATATGATGGATTGTGCACCGTTTTGACAGAGTTTATGATGAGAGGCGCCCATTGCGAAGTCTTGAAGTCCATGCTACTGAAAGCCCAATTTAAGGTATTTGACCTGACCTTGAACCGACCTGTGACCTCAAAATTCAACTTTAAAGTACTCATCTGAAGCGTCTCGTCGCGTTCTTTCGTTTGCCGCCTCGTGCGTTTCGCTGCGCCTATTGGTTCTCGAGTTATCAGCTGGGGGCGTTTAACGCCCCCCCCCCCCAGCAAACGGTGGGTGGCGAAATACCCCAGCAACTGCCGGGATAATCCCGGGATTTCCACTAATATTTCCCAAAGGTTGAACGTTCTTCAGCATCATTTTGCTCGTCCTGGTAGGTACTTGGCTACCTTATTACATAAATATGTCTCCGAAAAAAGTCGTACATTTGCCGGCAGCTGGTTGCAGCCCCGGCACCTCGGTAATAAGGCGACAGTAACCGATGACGGCGATTAGCACCGGTGCAGCAGCCCCTGCGGTCCGCAGGAGTGGATATTGCGCGGAGGGAACGGTAGCTACGAAGCTCTGGCGGTAATCAGACGATCACAATAATCTCTGATAATGACAGGTGATCGCATTTCGATATTTATGGGTTTACGATTTTCCAGTCAGTGGCGTAGCCAGGTGGGCCCGTGAGGCACATGCCCGTCCCCCCCATCAGGTTCAGGGGCCCCTCGGGTTATTCGGGCCTGAGGGGCCCTGCGGCGCCAATTAGCCGCTGAGGGTCCACGTTGGCCATATTTGGACTAAGTAGGGCCCCACATGGCTCGTAAGAACACCTCATGGGCCCACAAGTACCAACATTAAGATCTCCATAAGGGCCCCAAGCCAGCCTCTGAGGCCCACTTGCCGGCCTCTGGGGGTCCTAACCGGCCTATAGGGGGCCAGCTCTAGGAGCTGCACAGTGCACACCCGCCTGTAATGGCCCCACACCCATTTCTCTGAGGGCCCCTATAACGGCGACTGTGAGGGCCCTCACCGGCGCCCCTGAGCGCCACACCGGCGTCTCTAAGGGCCACACACCCCTAACTCTGAGGCCCTACACCAGTGGCTTTAAAAACCCTACATGGGCGGCTCTGAGGGCCCTTGTCAGTTACCAGCGGCCCTGACGATCCCACACAGGTGACTCGGAGGATCCAAGCGGCGTCTGAGCGCACCATACCAGTCTCTGAGAACCCCACAAGGCTCCTGAAGGCACCGGTGACCTCTTAATATCTTCTTGTCGACCTATGAAGGGTCTGTTCCGTAACAGCAGTTCTGAGGGCCCCACGCGCGCCTGTGATGGCCCTAAACCAGTGTCTCTGAGAGCCCCCACAACGGCGCCTGTGAGGGCCGTCACCGGCGACTGTGAACCCTCCACACCGGCGGCTCCGAGGGCCCCACATTGCCATATCTAAGGGCCCCACACTAGTGCCTCTTAAGGCCCTATATCGGCAGCTCTGGGGCCCAACATCGTAGCTTCTAAAGGCCCCACAAGTGCGCATGTGACGGCCACCCACCGGTGACATTTGAAGGCCCCACACCGGCTACTCTGAGGGCCCCATCGGCGCTGAGTCCGTGCCGGTCTCTAAAGACGACCCCACAGGGTTTCTTAAGGTACCACCGGCCTTTGATGGCCCTTTGTCGGCCTCTGTGGGCCCGTCACCGGTCTCTGGAGCCCCCTGCCGGCTTGTAAAGGGTACGCGCCAGCAGCTCTAAGGGTCCGACATCCGTGTACGACGGACCCACACCAGTGTCTTTGCAACTTACCGTTTTTTTTTCGCCCTTCTTCTTAAAACTAACTTTTCTTTTCTTTATATCTTTATTTCATGCATTGCAAGTTGTGTAATTGTTTTAGTTTTAGTAGTGAAAGACTGCAGAACCAATTATTTTCTTCAGCAGAGTTAGTGGGAGTTATTGAGGGACAAAATCATTGGGGGTGCTAACTGGAACATTCGGGGGTGCCCGGAAAACCATTGGGGGTGCTCATTTGAGCATTGGGGGTGCTGCAGCACCCCCAAAGGTACACAAATCGACACCCATGCCATAGACTTATTAGCGACCCTCCCCGGTCGCTAATCGGGAAGAGTTCCCTATTAGCGTTTTTTTTTTTTTTGCAATAGTTTGCCAAAATGCTCACTACAAATAAGTTAGTGAATATTGGGGCAGAAAATGACTATATTTTAACCCTAGAACGCCTAGGGGGGGGGGTTGTATCAACCCCCCCCCCTGAGGTTTTTTCGAAGTGCACGCTAAACGGCTTGTCGTAGCGGGCTGAAATTTTCAATACCCTCTGGGGCAACCTTTGCGCATCTTTTGCCGAAAAAAATTGATCGAGGTTTCGCCCGAGGTTTCCTGCCGGTGGTACGGACATCGGTTGATGGATCGTGATGAAACTTCCCATGCATGTTGGGGCAAGTATTGGCTATCATATGGTATAAGAAATTTGACCGGGTCAGGTCAGGTCACGGAGCTATGACGTCACAAGAGGAACAGCGTCCGGTACTATTTTTGAAAAGCGCCCGAACCACTATTTTGCTAATTCTTGTCACCTCAATGGGAATATGCAGCAATATTAGCTTCTATAGGGAGCAAATGGACCTCCCAAATCCAAAAATACAATCAGATTTCAAAAATTTAAATTTTGATTTTTCGAATTTCTGCCGCCGACTGTGACCTTGCCGACTTCTGGCGCTCCCAACGCGCCATTTTTAGAGCTAAGGAAACGAAATACATACCAAACGATAGAGAATTGATCAAGGAACACGATAGTGAAGGTTTCAAGTCGATGTCTCCCACCGTTTTGCCGCAATCGCCGCCGAAAGTTGAAAAAAGTCTATTTTTCCGAAAATTTGACCTTTGACCGGTCAAAAGTAGGTCAAATGTTGACCTAGGACCAAAAAATATACCACCAATCGCGAGATCTCGTTGAGAGCAATCCGTTGGTTTTTTCCGCTAAGCTCTACGACCTTCCGTTTCGAAACGCCAGGGGGGGGGGGTCGTAACAACCCCCCCCCCCTGGTCGTTCGTGTTATGAGAAATGGCCTGGTCGTGCGAGGGTTAATAGAAAAAGAACGATCTCTCCGAAAATCAAGCCAGTAATACAGTGGCACCCACAGAGCGTGAGCAATGACGGTTCAAATTAAGGGGGTCGCTAATTAGGCACCTTACCCTAAATGGACGATGGTAGGTATTTCATGAATAGATGGCCTCGAATAATAGGTATAGGTAGGTAATTCGTAAACTATCAAGCATAATAGAAACACACTAACAAACGTTCCGGTTCATGATTCATGAACAGCAATAAACCAGCATCTGCGATGCTGGGCTCCGCATCGCGGGACCGCAGGTTGTTTGAGCAAGCACCTCTGTAACGCCGCAAAAACGCCCGCCGCCAAACGAGAGGATGAGCCTTGCACGTGCAGATCGGAGTGCGTGTTCTACGAACTGACGTGCACTGCACTCTACGCCGCCAACCGCAAAACGCCGCAAAAAACGGCCGCCCGCCGTCAAACGCAAAAACCGCAAAAATGCGCCCGGCCGCCGCCAACCGAAAATAAACCTTTTACCGAAAACGACGCAAAAACAAAATCACCCGTTTCGCGGCGGGCGGGCGATGGGCGAATTTTTTATGGGCGATTTTTTCAGCCAAACTCAGACTCGGGCTCTGAGTGCAGCCTGAGTTATAGATGTCGCTGTCATTCAGCCACTGAAACAAAAGCGCCACGATTACCGTCAAATCATATTTCCTACGCGGCCGAGAAAAAAATGAAGCGGAAAGTGAGTAAGACCTACCTGACACACGGTACAGTTGTTTTGAACATCACCAGTTGAACCACGAGGCATCCATATTCCATACCAACGAAAAGTTTTCCATCTCTTGGTATATTAGCCGTAGGCTAATATTCCAGGCAGCGGCACGAGGAGCCGGATGGAGGAAACATGGATGCACGCTTGGTAAGGGCTGGATAGTATATTAGGACGTGAGCTTTACCAAAAGGCATCCACGCACCGCGCTGCCCGCCCTTGACGCAGTTAGCAAAAAAGTTGGCTCCAAATGTGATAGCCATCTTTCAATTACGTTAATTCAAGTTCGAAAGATGATTGGTGTTACTAAAAAAAGACTACGTCAAGAGCCCGTTACGATGTAACGGAAGACAAACCAGCCACTCCACACCTAGGCAGTTTTTCACACGCATTCCTGCATTCACACTCGCCATTTCGTGCACCGGCCTGCCCGCTGCACAACGTAATATCTATGGCAACTATACTGTCTAAGGCATGATTGTTGCTCCTAATGGTTTTCTTTTTTCACAGACTGGAGTGTGCTTTACATGAAAATATAATGTAGTAGATGATACCTGCTCATTTCATCACTAAACGTGTGAAATGTTCAAATCATGTTGGCATGTGGATAAGATCCGAGACTAGGAATTTAAAGTGTAGAAATGTCGGTGGCTGCTGGACGCATCTGCAACTGAGCTCATGGTCCTAATCATCCGCGAAAGTGACGAAACTACAGGAATGTCACGATAAAGATGCGCAGTACCCTGTATGTTCATGGCATACAGCTGCAAGCTAAGACAAAACTAGAAACGATCTTTGGGTAGAACATATAAAGTGAAGCAATACCAATGCAGAACTACTTGGAGTCACAGGAACCAGTGTGTCCAACATATCAATCAGCTAACATGTAAGAACGCATGTGTAAGGCCGCATGTGCAACTGTAATCCCTCTTGATCGACTACAAGAATGGAAAGAAAACGTCAACGGAGTAAAACTTCACCATGTGAATCTGCGTATAACTGGCATTCGTGATCAAGTATGCACAACAGATGTGAGGTGAGGACGCGGTGTCATTGCGATACAACATCAACTGATGCAATATTGGAATGCATTTTGCACTCATTCTTGCATATTGATAAGATCAAAAGTAAGGCGATAATGTGGATAAGTGTGTTGACAGATGTCGAAGACTGACGGTGATTACGAACTGCTTAACAGGCGACCGGATTGACGGTGATGCGCCTGACCGATCGTTGGAGTGCATGTCGCATCTGATGTCTATGGAAAACGGCAAAGGAGAAAACAGGACTATGGTGAAGGGCTGTTCTAACATCACATAGAACGGGAATGAGCAGTAACACCTCCCAATGAAAGCAGTGAAAAACAGCGAAACTGCCTGTTTATCCTGCCATGGTGCTAATGCCCAAAGTCAAGTTTTGTTTGTGTGTGTGGAAAGCGGTAGGGCCCTATGTGCTAAGCTTTCATCCGTTTTAGCTTTGGTATCACAATACAAGTATTAGGTGCTCGCACACTACTGCCAGTAGTTCAGTCGGTACTGAGTAGCCCGCAGCTAATAACAACCTGATATTTGCTTCCTGCACAAACGTAGATGGCGGCTAGCATTATGGAAGTGTCTTTACATGATGAGTCTGATCGACGATGATGAATGAAATAATCATTTGAACTCGTTGAAAGATGACGATGTCCGGGTCACAACGAAGTGACTTAAAACTTGCAGGATGAATAACTGATGATTGGGCCGATGAATGTGGCTTGTGCTGCAGCCGAGGCCTGTGGGGACGGACGACCGGTGAGGTACAAATGGAGCAAGGAAACGAGACGTGAATGTACACCAAGCACAATGATATTTAGCTATCATAAGCGTTGACAATGGTGAATAGTCGAGCTGTTCGTCATATTGAGCCTTCACGTCATAGCCATTGCAATATCAAGCTCCCCAAATTGTCATTAGCTTTCGCAGCCCAAGTCCAGTATTGAGTGCTCAAAGAACTTGCCAAGGCAATATAGCTGTGAGCAGCCCGAAGTTCATGGACGGATGATGACCTTTCCCTCTAGCAAAAAGTAGACGACGTCCAGCGCTATAGTCGAACAGTGCCACTGCCAGAAAGGGAGAAGGTTTGCGAAATTCGGTTCGAATATCGGGAATTCGGGAATTCGGTTAGATGGTTATGGAATGGACCATATTAAGGCATTTAGAATATCCTGCGCACGGTTTTCCTGAAAACCTGAAAACCGTAGATAGTGGGAAAACCTCAGGGGGGGGGGGCGGAAATCCGCCCCCCCCGTCGGTGCGCGGGATATATTTGATTGATATGTGTAGGCACTGCTTTAAAAATACAGTAAAACACTGAAAACTAGTGATGTCAATTACGGAAAATCGGAATACCGATACCAAACCAAATACCAACCAAAACCGTGGAGAAATATACCGAAACCAAACCAACTTGGGAACATGAGGAAAAAACCAACTTTTTACCGATTTCTTAGCCTCTTAGACATTAGCGAGGGTTCATGATACCAACAAAATACCAAACACATTAGGATTGAAATACCAAATACCGAGTTGGTATCGGTTTGGTATTGGTATACCAAAAAGTTGGTATCCGATTGACATCTCAACTGAAAACCAAAGCAACGTTGGAATGATTTTCCGTAGGTATGCGTTTAGTTAGCCAAGCAAACAAAGTCACAGGCTCTTGCACATATTACAGAGTGCTCCGGCACTGGTGTAACAAACAACTCACTTGCACTGGGGTTCGGGCTCACAGAGTAGATCCAACAGATAACAGGTCGCATTCAGCATTGCGCCGGACACTGCTGAAAATGTTGACAAGTGTCTGTCAGTAAACGCAAACATCAATCCCAATAGATAGGTACATGAAGACGATGACAAACATGTTGGCATTGTGTAGGAATGAGGACAGTAAATGATCACACAAAATGTAAAGCATTCTGCAACGTGTTGACAATGGACATTCAAATATGAATACATACCAGCCGTACGCAAGTGTCTTCGAAAATGTTGACCTCTTGATGGTGATGGAGAAGGTGTATCACGTCCACAGGCTTCAAGAAGTCGATCCATTGTCCGCATATTGTTAAATTTGGTCATCACATGTCCGTTTTCAACGCATCCGTAAACCGATGGCGAGAGCATTTAAGAACGTTTGAGCATGTGACTGAAATACTCAAAGACACAAGTTGGAGGAAGGAGCAGGCGAAAAAAGAAAGATAACAACACAGTGTATGAGCATCGTGTTCCAGTGCTAAAAATATAACTGAACAGGAAATGCAATATCATGTGTGGATCGCTCATGAGTGTGAACACATGCTTACATAGATGCATACCTACACTATACGAAAACATGACCGCTTTTTACGAGTGATTAACTGCTACATTCAGTGAACTGCATCATGTGGTACATGTTTGCGGGCGGAGCATGTCTACCGAATTCATCGGCAATACAATTAAAACAAACACACACATACGTAGAACTAGATGATGAGAGCTAGTGTAAGCGGGTGTACAGGTGGCTAATGTATATCTGCAGATAACTAATAGCTAGTGACAAATAAAAAAGTGCCAGCAACGGCCAGCGCAATGGGTGCTCCGTGATCGACGGTAAAATCTTCAACGGTATCGACGGTAAAGATGACTGGTAATGCACCTGTGAAAATAGGAGAAGCAACGGATGATTAGCTGACATGACAGCAAGTCGAAACGAATCGTCGATAAAATATAATATGTCAAGTCCGCGGATTTCTAAGCTTATGATTTTTCGATTTCGACGACTGTGAGTGAAAATGCATTTCAGATGAGATATTCGATAAATATTACTAAAACCCTTAGAAGTCAATAGGCAGAGGGCTACAAGCCTACTTTATTCAACGTTGAATACCCACCCATAAAGGTCAGTTCATCCGAGTATTACCGCCTCCAAAAAATATTAACGTTTTGTAGGCATACAGTACCGTAAAACCGTTTGGAATCTTGGAGCAGAGCTGTTCGTTAAGCTAACAGCATCCTTTGATAATGAAATGGGCCGGAGGCAGAAACTGGCACTTGAGAATGCAGAGGCAGTCATCACACAGTCCCAGAAGACGTGACTGGACAAGGCGTCCAAGCGGCGCCTGGTCATACACGGTTGCCATTGGATACTGCGAAATCAGCCTGCAGGCACATAAGGACAAGGAGTTAAAGTTTTGAACACGCTTTTCGTTCCCTTGTTGCATTACAAAAAAAAAATATTAACGTTGTGTAGGCATATCTGGTTTGGTAGCGTGTACCATTATGCTCCCATTCCACTTACTGGTCACAGATCCAAACTCATGAAACTCCTAGATGCCGTTCATGATGACGAGTGTGTTCAATGAAGCTTATTCTGCTGCATGATGCACTGGTATGGTATGGTATGGTATTTGTAGCTTACGGGCCACCACAGCGTCCTGTATTTGGGCCCGGTTCTGTCGTCCGTCTTCGTTGTTGGTCCGTCCGTTGCCTTGAAGTGTCCGTTGTCTTCTTGGCTCGCAAGGGTGGGCTGAGGGGTGGGACTGGGTTCCTAGCTATCTCCTCCCGGGTAGCCGGATTGCCCCTTCTATTATTTTTTTTTGTTTTTGTTTTTTTTTTTTGCCATTTTGCCATTCTGGGGTTTTTTATTTTGATTCTCATTGTTTTGAATATTGTTTTTTTCTTTTTTGCTTCTTTTTTTGGCTTTTTTGGCTTTTTTGTCCTTGGCTCTAGGGGAGGAGATTTACAGGTCATTGATCAGCCCAGTGTTGTGTCTTTAGTGGATGAGTAGTGTTGTTAGCTCGGGGTGTAAGTCCCCGAGCAGTGTTGTGAGTGTTAGTGGGATGTTGGCGTCTCTGCAGTATGTTTGTATGTGTGTCCTGTGGTGTTGGTATTGTGGGCATGTGAGTAGCAGATGTTTGACAGTGATGAAAGTGTTGCAGGTGTTGCATTTCGGTCTCGGGCTTCTTGTGATGATGTAGTTGTGTGTGATAGCGGTGTGTCCAATGCGAAGTCGTGTGATAGCCCTCTCGTTTTTGCGTGAGTTCATGTTCTTGGTGTGCCAGTGTTCTATGCGTGGTTGAATGCATCATGCACTTCTGGACAGTGATTGATATCCGACTTGCTTGGGCGAGTGTATGCGAGTGATGTGTAGTGGTGACCAATTGTACCAAAAGAAAATGACATTGAGAACATGATTTACAAGCGCAACATGCGGCACAACTCACGTGCATACAACGACAAGAAAAACAGGAAATGTCGTAAATGACGCCATAAAACATTGTATGGCCTACAAATATATCCGCAACGCAATCCTGGCTTGAGCTAATTCAGTACCTACTTTCGCGGGAACACTTTAACTCATGTAGGTAATGTTCACACGACGCAAGACTCATATACAAACATACAACACTAAAAACACAGAACACGGACATTTTGTAGCAGTATTGCATTGTATCAGCAGCGAGGTGGAAAACTGGCGGCATCTTTGTCTCAAACTACGTGCCAGCGGTGCAATAGGCAGCTGGCATTCAGATCTAGCAATAATGTGTGCTCATGATGTTAATGGCACCTGTGAGGAGGATGAAACAATTCTGAATTTGATAGGACAAAACTGTCTGGCCAATCTGTTCCGAGCACAACTCACTTTCCCTGGACATGCAGAGTATGTGTTGCTGTGAGTTAGGTACTTATCAGATGTCACATCGCTCTGCTTATGGTAGACCTGCAATATGTGACTTGCATGTAAACCCTGCCAGCAGCATGTAGTTTTGCACAATAAAACTGTTTTCTCTGTGTGGGCTTGCATATTTCGTTGGTAGCAGGCAGGCACAATGCTAGTTCCATACACCACTGACTACACGCACTCATGCACGTATTTACTTGAAAACTAGTACCAATTCACTCATTCACTAAATTACGTGTAAGATGACACGCACACCCTCACATACGCACATACATACCCACACACCCACATCCACCCTTACACACTCACAGGCACACATGCTCACAAATACCAATCATTCAGGGTTTCCGATGAGATGAAGTGTGTCTACTGTTTTCTGCCACATTACGTCATCACCACAAGGATTGAATCAAAAGTATCTAGGGTTAAGAAGCATAAACAATTGCTGACACATACTTGTCACTTACTTCTAATATGCCCTACTGCAACCATAAGATTCAGTTGAACCACTTTGCTCATCTTTACTTTCAAGCTGACAATCAGCATTGACGAATCAGCATTGGTTTGGCCTTCATGAAAGCTTACGTCAATAGCGCAAATAAATAACTTGCTTGTGGACGAATGGCTTTTAGTATGAATGCACATAGGTAAAGTGAACTGCGCACATGCTGTGACAAACTTTTGTTTGCCTAGTAAGAAAACAGTAGACACACTTGCTAGTTTGGATAAAGGGATATTCTCGTGCGTGTAAACGGTTAATATATTCGAATTTGAGGTTGACAAAATGTCAACGGTCGTTTGTGACGAACGGGGACTATATAGTAACAGTTACTGAAGTTTGGAGGACGTATCGACTGCTGAAATAATGTTTGCCAATGAGCAAGAACATCATGCGATAACATGATTAACTAGATACGTTAGTTCCGACTAACATTGCGTCGTAGTTTCGGATACTCCGAATGGAACTTGAAAACGTTAACAAATACTTTTGTTATCGGCCATCGTACAATGCTTGAAACAGTGCCTAAAGCAAACAGTCAACGTCCGTAAATATAGTCTGGTGCAGCATGTGCACTAATGGTATTGAACATGCATGTCGATGACCCGACATGCACGTCATGGACAGTGCAGTATGACGAGAATATCCCTTTAGTTGTTTAGAAGTTGAAGGTCTTGAAGTAGAAGGTCTTGAAGTTGAAGGTCCGCGGAGAAAGCTCGCCACCGTAGACACTATAGCCGGGGATAACAGCAGCAATTAAAATTTCATTTGGCAAATAAGTGACGATGAGGCACAACTGCAAATAATCTTTTTCTTGACCGCCTTCCATCAGCAACGTGCTATAGTACCATAATTGCCAGAAGAAAACCGCTCATTTGCAGCCTCATTTTATACACATCTGTTGAAGGAAATATATTTTCTTTTAACCTTTAACAAGTCCGCAAACTTTGCTTGGCATGAGCGATTAAGCGCTAGAAGTTGAAGCTTGATCTAACGAAAAAGGAAACAATACTTAAGCTCATGATGCATAGACAAATATGCACTGAGAGTCCGGATGCGGCAGTGAAAGCGTGTGTCAACTGACGCAAGGTTACAATGCTATTTACCGACGAAAAACGCGATTTTGAAGCATTTTCGTGAATAAAGTGAATGTAGACTCAGACGTATTAGGTAATAGTATGCTTGAATAATGAAAAATATCAATTAAAGAGGAGCTTTGCACTCACTCATTGTGCAAATGTAGCAGCCTAATAGCATTTACATAAAGAATCTCAATTTATCTTCAATTGCTGCCGTGATATCTTATCCCCGACCTTGCCTCGCACATGACGACCCGTGGGGGGAGTCTGGTATCCACCGCCAGCAATTGTGCACACTGGTTCGGTGGACTGGACGTAAAATGACGCCACTCTACAACAGACTCATGATCTCCGAGTGAGATCGATCTCCAAGTGAGACCTGGGTTTAGAGGCGCTTTAGCATGGAAAGCTCCTCAAGGCTCCCGTCGCGTGCCTCGCAAATGATACGAGCCATACGCGCCCCCCGGGATTTTAGCCCATGCAGGCTGTTTTTTGAGATGAAGTCTCCACTAACGTTACGTCAGCTTGTGCGTCACCAGTTTCAACAACGAGAATAGTTTATGTTTGGATTAGACGGATGATATGCTTCCTAGCAATGTGGATACATAAATGAACTGTCAGGTAAGCTGAAGCCACCAAAGGTAGATTAGATATCGAACAAGTTTTGTGCAATTTTTATTGCACAGTTTTGTTTTTAAAACAAAGAATGCATTATGCAGTCATTGCTTCGTGCATTCCATTGGAAGCAAAGCTTCTAATCATCGTCTGCAAGTGAACTGATGATTTTAAGAAGGACGGCACAAAATAGGCCGCCGGTATTTGACAGAATAACGTTAATTTACAAAAATTACGATTAAAGGGACCCTCCACCTTCAAAAAAGTTTATGAATTGGCATAAAAGTGATGTCGCTCGGTTCAGAAAGGAGCGAGAAAACGATATCTACCAAATTTCACCGAAAATATTCACCGGTTTTCAAGATATTGGACTTTTACTTTTGTTTACTTT